TCACACAGCCATCTCCCAGTGAACACAGGACGGGACACAGCTGCTTTACATTGAGTGCTCCCTACTGGCTGCACTGCATTAAGCCATGGTTTCACCTGTCCAAGCAGGGAGTATGCTCTTCAGGGTATTTTTAAGATGAGTTTCTTATGAAACTCTTCCTCTGCTCAAGGGATGTGTAAGGTGTATCAGCACACAAAGCCACAGGTGGCTGATCAGGCTGGGGCTCCAGCTGAAGCTCTTCCAACATCTGGGGTCCTGCAGGCTCTGTCTCCTGTGAGGATGTATAGGTTGGCAATGAGGCAGGAACTGCTTTGGAAGATTCTTGCAGACTCTTCTATGGTCTGTCACCTCCATGGATGTGCTTATGGGAGCTGGGCTTAGAAGTGCTTGTAAAGGCCTTCCCACACCCGTTGCACTTAAAGGGTCAGACTCCACTGTGATGGTGGTGGGTGAGGCTGGAACTGCTCGTGAAGCACCTATGTGGTGTCTCTCATGTGTGGATGTGCTGGTGGACAATTAGGTAGGAACTGCTTCTGAAGCCTTTTGTACACTCATTTCCCTTGGGTCCCACAGACATTGCTTTTAAAAAGTGGCTCACTATGGCCTAATAAGCAATGGAAACCTTCCAAACTGGGGAAAAGTGGATGGCAGCGAGTCAAATGTTTCAGTGATTAAGCTGATGGTGAAAAAAGGGGAAGAAGTTAGGTGGGCAGTTCCACCATCCTAAATACTAGTGAGCATGGCCAAAGGGACGTTAGTGCCTACCTGTGAGACCCTGAAAAAAATGAATGTGTATGGCAATGGACTGTATACGTATGTGATATAGGTTGCTTTGTTTAGCCATAGGAATTGGTACATTAGTTTAAGAACCAATACATTAGTTTAGCAAAAGGAATCCATAGTGATAGTTCTGAAACTTTCCACTTCAGCTTTAGTGAGTGAACTTGTTTTTCCTAACAGTTTTGCACTGGGAATGATCCCACTTCACAGGAGCGCCGGAGTCAGAACGGACTATTATCTTTACAGCCACCAGGTGCAAGGCCTTTTTCTTTCAATATCATATATACTGATTTGGAAATTGCTCATCATGGCCTAACGAGCAATGGAAGTTGTCCAAATTAGGGAGAAACAGCTAGAGGTCAGCCAAAAGTCTGTGATGAAGCTGATGATGGGAAAATGCAGATAAACCAAATGGTTGTACAACCACCTTAGATGCAACTGCATGCCCAGAAAGACATTAGCATATATTAATGAGTGTTTGAAAAAGAATGAGATCGAATATGTTTGCCAGTATGTATATGCATATGTATGTCTTCACTGTTTAAAAGTAGAACCTGAACTCTGAGTGCACGTGCTTGTTTTGGTAAGTTGCCAGGTACCATGAAGAATAAAGGAATGTTGCTTTCTAATACCACACTGGAGTTAGAGTTTTCTTCCTGGGTTTCAGATGACAAACGTAAGCTGCCCATGCTCAGCCCCACTGCACCTCACACAGCAAGCAAGGAAGTGCTGGGCAGGGCCTCCATCTAAGACACCAAACAAGGAAAGATCCTGCAGAGCAGCTGGCTTCAGCTGAGCACCCAGATCACACACAGGTCCGTGGGGCAGGCTGTGGGCAAGGTAAGCTGCACATCAGGAGGAGTTGTGAGCAAGGCTGGGCTGCAGCCCTGGGCTCCTCCAACGCAGTCGAGCAGGGGTTAAGTACCTTGGCCTGGGCTTAAACAGAGCCCTGAGCAAGGAGATGGACAGCCTGGGAGTCTGGTCTCGTGCAGGGTGCTCTGGATGTGAAAAAGCCCGCAGCAGAGCTCACAGCTCCCTGCACACCAGTGCTGGGAGGGGCTCCCTATGAAGCACTTAGAACCTGGCTTGAAGCTTGAAGCAGCACTACGGTAGCAAGACGTGCACCAAGGTCATCCTGCAGGCAGGTTCAGGCTGAGGACACTTGGCATCCTCTGCCCTGCATGATTCAAAGGAACCTGGCTGCATGCAACAGAGGTGGCAGCACCCTGCTCTGCACCCAAGGTAAGTGCCCTTCATTGCTTGGCAGAGAAGCAGCAGGGATGTTTCTTTTCCGTCTGAATCTCCAGTTGAAGCAATACTGGAAAACACAAAGTCTAGCACTGGCCTTGGAAAGTCATGAAAAAAGGGAAAAGGAAAGCAGGATCTGCCTCACCTTGCTGTTAGAGTGGAGACAGATGTCAGGACTTCAAAGGGAGCAACTCAGAAAGTAACTGGACTGCAGAAGAGGAGTCTGGAAGGCTCCAGGTGAGCAGTTTGGGTTCCTGAGCCCTGGATGAGCCCATTTTCGCCAGAATTTACATGGAAACATGGGCCACAAACACAGGGCATGAGTCTCAGATGTACCTGATTCCTCAAAGTCCCTGCTCCCAGTAGCAATTGCCTCTCTGTATTCTCTTTTTAACTGAGGGGACAGATTTATTCTCATTACACTGAACAGATTTGAATTATTCTAATGACTTCCTTTTTTTTCCTCTTTTTTTTTCTTTTTTTCCTTTCCCCATAGCTCTATGTGCTTTTACCCATTCCCTGACGCTTTGTATGACTGTTCCTGTGCTCCTCTGCCTCCTGCCAGCTGGACAGAGAGTCAGAAGAGGAGAGTCAAGGGACAGTTCAGAACCAATGCTGCTTTACCCCAAGCAGGATCCTGGTTCTGGCTCCATCTGCTGCCCAGCACAGCAGGTTGACTGAGCCTGATAAGGTGCAGTGAGGGGAGCAGCTGTATCAGGGTATGTTGCAGTCCAGCTTGTGCACCAAGGGACACAGGAAGGGGTTGGAGCTGGGAGAATGAAGTGAGCAGAGGAAATCAACATGTTCTACTGACCTGCTGGCTCTTTAATACAGCATAGCTGGAACTATGCTTCTCCCTCTTCTTCTATCCAGCAAGTTACAAAAATTCCTGCCTTCCTTGACTCTTATCTAATGCCTCCAAATTGATAATTTTCATTTCCATCTCCAGCCCTCAAATTCCTTTAGGGCAGGCATGTCCAGCTCACAGCCCAGCCCAGCCCATACTGCAGCCTGCCCCCTGCTATTCCCTGTCCAGTGGCATGCACTCATCATTCAGCAACAACCAAACATGGTGTGTGATTCACACTGTCTGAGTTGAAATCAGGACATGGAAAGGGTGCAGCAGAGAATTCACTGCTCCACACATTAATGAAAGTTATATACGTTGGATGAAACCAGTCACTGTGCAGCTTTTTATTGCCTTAAAAATCAGTCTACCCTGAATTGACTCCAAGAATATTCTGTCACCCTGAGGTCACCTCAAATGTCTCCCAGATGAGAAGCATTCACTGATATTGTTAAAAATTTCTCATGGTCTGCATCAGGAGTCACTGCTGCTGGCCCAGACTGATGGCTGGGGACACAGGCACTTGCTTTAGGATTAGTTTTGAGCCGCCCTGTTGAAATACAAACCATCTGCTGGATTGGACTTTGCTTTCTTTCACCACACAAGCCCTTGGGGCTCTGTCCCTCCTACGTCCCCGTGATGCCCTTTTCCTTCCAGCCAAATTCTCATGGCTGGATCCTTTGGTGACCTCTGGTAGCTGCTAAGTGCAGGATTAAGGTTCCTAGAGGGAAACCTCATCAGAGGGGGGAAAGTTGTATGACACGGCTTAATCACAGTCTAACCCCAAATGCAATTCCTTTTGCGAGTGCTCAGGTGCTTCAGAAATTGGGAGAACTCCTCCAGTGCATGAGCTGAGGGTCTTGGTGTGTACCTGAGTGCCACAGTGGGGTTTTTTGAGACCTCCTGCTCACATCCCTCATCTCTCCAAGAGATTTGCTTCCCTCCCTGCTCCACATTGGCAAACGATGACAGGGACAGGAAGTGAAACATGCAGAAACCCTGCTGCAGAGCAGCTCTATCACAGACCCCAAGCAGAACAAGTGCTACAAGCAGCACTTTGAGACAGCGCTGGATGCCCAGAACTGCTTCAAAAACCAGAGGTTCACACCTGCCTGTGCCAGTTCTCCAGGTCTGGCATAAGCCAACGATCACAGCACCAACACCTCCTGACCTTTAACCAAGGTTTGATGGCTTCTTCATGGATCTGAAACCCCCCTGAGTCCCCTAAAGCTGTTGCAATTGCCTTGAGACATGTCCCCTCCCAGCCCTGCTACAGGCCAACGCTCAATAGCAGCAACAAGAACAGGGATGGAAGGAGCCATCTCTGTCAGCTCTAAAGATCATCTTTAAAGTCTTTGTCCCAAAGCCATTAATTTGGGCCAAACCCAACAAACAACGCTGCTGGGACCAACAAGACTTATACTAACCTCAGGCTTCAGGATGCCAGGGCACAGGCCTCAGGCCTCTGCTGGCACCATTCACCAGCTGCAGCTGCACCAGGCTGCAATGTGAGGCTCTCTGGGGATATTTGCAATCTGGGGCCCAACTGAGCTATTCAGGGTACCAGTGAAGGACATTTGATACCTCTTGGGGCAATTTATTCTTTGATGGTGTAATCTGAGACAGGGCAAAGGAGATTTGACACACAAATAGGCAATCTAGGGATGCAGAGTGTATAATGTGGTACACTAGGAGTCGGTTTACCCACAAGGCAGTTTTGGCCCCTGTGGGCTATTCAAAGCACCAGGACTGCAGCACAGGACCCACAGTGAGACATGTGGAGCTCAGGACATCTCTGGGAGCTGAAGCTGGGGTCCAGTGAGGTGACAAGAGCTTGGTTGAGGGCCCATGAGGCTCCTCTTGGGCACCTGGGATGACATTTGGAGATCCTAGGGCTGCAATTCAGGGCCCATGTGGGGGGCACTCTGGGGGTACAAGGGATGCCACCTGGGGACACTGCAGGGGACCTGAGACTTTGTAGCTGAAAGTGATGGGTGCAACATTTCTGCAGGGACCCAGCCACATGACAGTCATGCACATCCCAAAGCCTCCCCGCTGCCCAGTGCCCCACAGAACTGCCTCCCATCCAATGCTATCCCACAGAGCCACCAACATGACCCACTGCCAAAAGTCAACCATTTTTTGTATGTAAATGCCATTCTGGCAGGTACAGAGAAGAAATTTGGCTGTTTGGGGGTGACAGCCAGACCAGGGACACAGCCATCACTCAGTCCAGCGGTGGCCACAGTGCGGGGCTGTGCAGACATAGTAGAGCCTCATGGCATCCTGAAGAGTAGGGGGAGGCGGTGGTCAGAGGAGAGGGATAGGAAGGGGTGGCAACAGCAGCTGGGAGGCTGGGGGACTTGGGGGTGGTGCCTCACCTCAGCTCTTGCACTGTGCGACTGGAAGAAAACAGCTTCCTTGTGCCCACACCTGGGGGAGAGAAAGGAAAGCAGTGACACAGCAGGGATGTGGAGCCCCTATGTGGGGCAGGAACCACAGGAGGGGATGTTAAATAACCCCATAGGGAAGTAAAGGAGCTGTGAGGAGAGTACTGGTGATGTACAGGATATAGCAGAGCCCTGCAGCAGGAACATGGCATGGATACCATGCCCCCGACACTGGTAAAGTTGGAGCCCAGAGGGAAAGCAGAAGGGCTAAGGACATCTCTTGGCCCCAAGGGAGCCCCTCACATCCCTGCAGGGGCTCCTGGTCCCCACAGGGATCCCCCAAGTCCTCCTCACTTCTGGCAGGGGTGGTCCTCAGTGCGCGGCAGCGTAGGGTCCTGGGAGACATCAGCGATGATCTGCGTGAGCTCACTGTGAGGAGACACCCAGATTGTTAATCAACCTCCTAACGAGCCTCAAGACAGTTAATGACCCTGTCATCTTCCTTATTATGTTCTTATTAATTGCTCTTGAGTTGTTCCACTTCACTGCCTTCTCTTTACCAATTACTCTCTATTTATTCCTCAATCAACCTTATTAACAATTCCAACAGTTCCTTTATGATTCTTATTAACTGCCTATGAATATATATCCCCTATTAATTTTCTCCATTAATTGCCCTCTGGTCAGCTTCCCTTATTACCTATCCTTATTAATTACTCCCCATTTACACCTTGATCACTGTTATTAACCCAATCATTCCTTTATCATCCTTACTATGAACTGATCCACTTTGTTCACTGCTCTCCAGTCAGCCTGCCTTATTACCTCTCACTACCGAGCCACATCCCAAGCACTTTCCTCACTTAATTACCTCCTTACTAACAACCCCCACTAGTCTTTTTGAAACTGCAGCCCCCCGTTCACCAGCCTCCACTGATACCCAGAACAGGGACGGCCAATGTGCCGAGGTGGGAGGATCGAGGGGAGGACCTTAGGGGCTGTCTTGTTGGAGGGATGAAGGAGGGGGTGGCAGGGATGGCAGTGGAAGGCTCTGTGGGTTGGAATCCTGAGGAAGGGGTGTCGGGGGTGGGTCCCAAGGGGGTCCGCACTCACTCCACTTCATGCGTGATCTTGTTGACGTAGATGCAGCTGCTGTCGGCCTCCTGCTGGTAGTCGCAGTTGCGGCACTGGGGGCAGAGATGGGAGTGGGGAGGGTCAAGGCTCGGGCCCAGCTCTGAAGGACGCGGCTCGGGGTGTGCCGGGCCCGTGGGGGTACCCGAGCCGCGGGGCCTCACCGCGTAAAGCAGCACACGGCTCTCCTTGTCCTCCTTGGGGTACAGCATGTTGTTGCTAAAAAGACGCGAATCAGCGCGGGGCCGGGGCCGGGCTCGGGCTCGGTCCCGGCCCCGCTCCCGCCGCATCCCGCCTCCCTCACCACTCCTGGCAGAAGCGGATCCCGACGAAACCCGGCTCAGACGGACCCTCCGACTCCATGTCGAGTCTGCACACGCGCACAGCGACCGACCACAGCGGCTCCGCCGGGACAAAAAGTATCGGAGCGCGGCCGGAAGTTTCCGTGCACACACACTGCAACCGACTACGGCGGCTCCGCGGGGTCAAAACGCATCGGGGCGCGGCCGCAAGTCCGCGCGTGTGCCGGAAGCATCTTCCCATCCGCCCGCGCCTACAGCTGGGCTCTTTGGGTATTATAACCGTGGAATCATTAAGGTTGGAAAAGATAACCAAGATCTAGTACAACCACCACCGTGCTTCCTGAGCCATGCTGCTAAGTGTCACATCTACACATCCCTTGAAAACCTCCTGGAATGGTGACCTCACCGCTGCCCTAGGTAGCCTGTTCCAAAGCCTCTCCACTCTTTCTGAGAAATTTTTTTTTCCTAATATCCAACATGAAGCTCCCCTGGCACAACATAAAACCATGACTTCCAACTCTTCGCCATTACCTGAGGAAATAGGCGACTCCCACCTTGGTACAACCTCCTTTCAGGCAGTTGAGCAGAGTGATACGGTCCTCCTGAGCCTCCTCCATATTAAACAAGCCAGTTCCCTCAGCTGCTCCCTGTAAAATTTCTGTTCCAGACCCTTCACATCTTTGTTGCACTTCTCTGGACACGCTCTAGGGTGTCCAGAGAATGCCTTTCTATGCCTTTCTTGTAGCGAGGGGCTCAAAACTGCACGCAGTGCTCAAGGTGTGACAATACCAGTGCTGAGTACATCATCCCCCTGGTCCTGCTGACTACGCTATTTCTGATAGAAGCCAGGATGCCACTGGCCTTCTTGGGCACTTGGCACAGTACTGGCTCATATTCAGTCAGCTGTAAGTTAACATTTCCAGATCTTTTTCCTCCCTGCAGCTTTCCTCTGCCCCAAAGCCTGTAATGATGCATGGGATTGTTGTGACCAAAGTGCAGGACCCAACACTTGGTCTTGGTAAAAGTCATACTGTTAGACTCAATCCACTGATCTAGCCTGTCCAGATCCCTCTGTATGGCCTTTCTATCTTCAGGCAGATGAGTACTTCTTCCCAACTTGGTTTCATCTGCAAACTTACTGACGGAACAGTCAATCCCTCTTTCCAGATTGTCAATAAAGATAATGGGATGCAGACACTGAGGATGTCATCATTCTTGTAATGGGAGAACATGTCCCACCACTGAATGTGTGCTGCTGTGTGTGGTGCTTTCACAGCATGGCTGTGGTGCCATGTGGGCAGCAGTAGGGCTAGGCTCTTGTAGGCATAGGGTGCTGACAGACCCACAAAGCGGTTGCCAGGAGGTGTCAGCAAGGACAGGCTCTTAAAATTAAATTTATTTCAGTTGCCTGTATAACCAAGATGTTATAATTGCAATATAATCAAAAGAGTAAGG